TGGTTAAGGGTATGGGCTCTGGAGCCAGAATGTCTTGGTTCAAAGCCAGGCTTGATAGATTACTAAATGTATGTCCCATCAGAGTTGGGGCAATATTACATCCCATAAAAGCATCTATGATGCCAAGGTAGTAACAATAGTGGTACTGTGGTGAATTGCTTGATGTGGCCCTTCTAGCCATTGTCCTCCATTCTGTGATATATTGTAAATCCCATTTTCCATGCCTGTTTGGGGTGGTGTGGTAGTTAAGGTCAGGTATCATCTTGGCTGGGCAGCTGGTAGTAGTTGTTCCCTATAATGACTGGAAATTGGCTCTGTGATGGGATTTGCCTTGAGCTCTAGATTGTTAAAGGCATTCACTCAGGTTATTTCTGTTGGGGCAACACAGGTGAAATAAATCTTAAGTCCTGCCTTGCTGGAGGGTATAATTCAAATCACCACCCTTAGCTTCCCGGAGAGTTTACCTACGAATCTCCTGAGAAGATCCACCCTCCTCTTGCTCCGGTTTTGTGTCTTGGATGATCCTCATCTCACCCCTGGATTTGGGACAGCATTCCTCATCTGATCTGCTGATCGCGGTTCATCAAACCCCAAGAATTGGGAGGATCCTCCAGACCCACTCACCAACCTGGGACTCACCGGTCTGCCAGCCCCCACCACTGCTACGTGAGACGATCCCTTGGGTGTCTGTGAGTTCTGTGAGGCGTAACAGAGAAATACAGAACACTAAGACTGGGAAAATTACTGGGAGGAGGAGGAGGAGGAGTTAATGTCTGAAATGATGGCGTGGTAAGGTAGTTTGGACATTTGGGACATCTTTAATCTCCGCCTCATGGGGACCGGCCTTATGCTGATCTTTCTGAGAGAAATTGTTCAAGCAGGTACACTACTCACAAACTTGTGAGGGCTACATGTAAAGGGTAATAACAGTACTTGTACACATAGTGAGTACTCAATGTGATATTTTTATTACCCAATCTCCAGTTATTTATAGAAAAAGTACCCATTCTCATAACCATTTTCCTCTGGAGTAGTGGAGAGGGAAATGGTGGAGAGAAGAAAGGAAACATTCATAATAACATTTCATAAATATGACAAATATTTACAAAAAAAGTGGAATAAAATTCTTCTTGATGTGGAAAAGTAGTGAATGTCAATTAAACTCACTGCAGGTTTATGTTTGTTTGTTTTGCTTTTGTTTTTACAGTTCTATAAAATTTAAAATCAGTTTTTCCCCAGAAGGAATTCCACATCACCCTAGAGCCTCAAATCGGAAAGAACCAGACACTGAAACAGGTCACTGGCTTGGATGAAAGAGGACCTCGAAGGTCATAAGGCACTCTATTGACTAGAAAAGTTTTGCACAAAAATGTATTTTCTGGTTGGTATAGAAGATGTGATAAATAAAGATTGTTCTTACAGTCAAGGGAGACTAAGATGGCTGGAAAATACAAATAGAAAAATAAAATGGTACTTGAGTTCAGTTTAAACTGCTGAACAAATAAAATTGAAGTCGTGCATACGGAAAAATTCTTGAAAATATCCCAACTTACTTTCCTAGTGATTCTTTATCGAATTCTTGATATTTGTCCTTAGTGAGGTGTCAGCTGGAAACATGTCAGGGAACAGCATCACAGTAGACATGTGAAGGTCACTTTCTGGAATGCAATGAAGAGTGTTTCTGATAAAAACACCTACAAACCCATGAATTTGCCTCTGTTTCAGAAATTCTGTCTTCCAACCCAGCAGACCTATATTCTTAAAAATAAAACATCAGAAATTTACTAGAGATGTTTCTCTTTTATTTTTAGTCCTGAAATTAATCTTTAGAGCAAATATTACTAAAATATCTGTAGCTACGTAGTTTTGGCAAACTATATATCTGCATACATTTTGTATATGCTATAAAAAGATCCATATGCAGTATAAAGCTAATGAGGACAAAGTGATGATAACTTCTTAGCCATAACTAAGTGCCTTGCTGTATGTGTGCACCGAGAACCATGTTCATGGGGAACATCAACTCAATGGGCACAACATAATACACAAAAACATTGTACATCTTACTGCAGTGAGTAGTGACTGGGGTCTTAAAAGCTTGTGAGCGGCCATCTAAAATTCAATATTGGCCTCTCCTCGTCCAGAGGAAAAAAGAAGAGTGAAGAAAATCAAAGATGGATGGAAACAGTTTATCCAAAGGACTAAAGGACCATGAGAACTTCACCGATATGAACCTAAGACCAGAAAAACTAGATGGTGTGTGATTAGCAATGCCAACCACTTGGAAAGGGACCAAAATTGGAGATCCTGGATAGAGTGAAAGAAAAACTAGGGAGCAAAATTTTAAAACTTGAAAGGACCAGGGTGACTTGTTGAATAGACTGGTGAAACCTCCAGGACTGTGACCTCAGGTCACCCTTTGGCCTGCAATTGAAGTGACTCCCATGGCTTCACCCTCAGCCAAACAATAGGTCTACTAGCTGAGAAACCAAGAGATGCCTTCCTTAGAACAGTCAACCATGGGAAACCAGAAGGGCATCATATAAACAGCAAGAAAATTCCAAACTAAAAAACCAAACTCACTGCCATGGACTCAGCGATTCATAGAGACCCCTCCTTGGGTTTCTGAGGTGGAATCACTACAAAAAAAGTAGATTGCTCACTCTTCCTTCCAAGGAGTGGCTGGTGGGTTTGAACTGCCAGCCTTCTGCTTAGCAGAATCAGAAATGCATAGGCAAGAAGGACACAGGGAAAGTGTAACCACAGGCAGGACGTGGAAGGAGAGCTGATACATTGTAGGGGTTGTAATCTATGTCACAAAACAAAATGTGTATGAACTGTTGAATATGAAAAGAATCAGCTTTGTAAAATTTTATGCAAATTATAATAAACAGTTAAAAAAATAAATTGGCATTAGACATACCAATCATTAACAGGGAGTCACTACTTTAACTCCTTTTATAAACTGTTTCGTTCTTTCTCACTTTCTCAAGTGCATCCTTTCATTGATTTCTCCTCTTTGTCTGCATCAGCAATTTTTTTTTTCTTTTAATCATTGACATAAACATAAAAATTATAGCAGGAAATGATGAGAGTCTATAAAATTTAAAGGATATCTTGACTGGCTTTTCAATCCTAATTACATCATTCCTTGACTTTGACTAGAATATTTTACAACTTTGTACTTATGGAAGTTAACTTGTAGGAAAATGATAGCAAGGCCAGTAATGCTTGTCCATGGTTATAAGAATTGGTCCATGGAGTGTGAATATCGATGGGGTTTGCAAGATTTGTATTCACTTGTAAATTACTATCAGCATTTTTTACCAGACTCAGTGTGTGATATTTTGTGTTCTTTACCATTGGTAAGACCTTATTGAGTTCCCCATTAAATGAGGTAAGTAAATCTTTAACATATGTATAGTTTATATTTGTATAAGGATCATGATTTGTATAAGGATCTCCTTTAAAATGTATTTTTTAACAGAATAAACTCACCCATGTCACCAAAAACAAACAAATCTCTCTCTTTTTTCCCCCATTTCCTAACTAAATCTATAATTTATCCATAAATATCATTCTCTTTGAGGAAATATCCATGGAATAATTATGTTTCTGAAATAGGGCCATTTTGGGGAAGATAGATGGGGATTTTCTCTCTCTCTCTCTTTCTTTTTTTATTAAAGAAACATTTTTTTTTTTAATTTTCTGATAATATTAATTAATTTATTTTTTAGGAGGGAAAGAAAAAATATATTATTGAATAAGCATTAAAAAGACTAAAAAAAAAACCCCAAAATCTCACCTATTTGTGTAGCCAGGTAGATACAACTCATTACATACATGTAAATTGTCCTCATCCAAAGAAAAAATAAATCTTATATC